AGTTTACATTTAGTGCTATTTTAATTAAGAATAACTGATATGTTATTCTTCATAAACCCAGAAGCGGCGGCATAATATGTAGGCACCGGACAGCAGAATTTAGGGAAGACGAAATTTTTGGAATTTGGGGAAGCACCGAGTGGCAAAATTAAAGAATGAGAAGTTTTTTATGATTTAGGGAAAGCACTGGGATGCAAAGTTTAGGTGCGATTAAAATTTAGAATTTAGGCTCTGTGCAGACTGCACCATGCGGGATTTAGCACCGGCCCTAAATAAAGCATTAAGGATATGTAGGAGTTAATTTATTCAGGACTCAGATTAGTGTTAAGCATGTGCAAGAACTAAACATAGGTATAGTAAATAATTAACTAATACAATTCAGGCTTATTTCAAAAAACAATAGGAGGAAGACAAAATTTAGCAAAACAACTTAGCTTTTGTCGGCAATCTTGTGATACACAGCCATTAAGGTATCACGAATGCTTTTTTTAAAAACTAAGCTTGAACTTTCGATTATGTCAAAAAGAGTTTCCTAATTCTGGAGTTGCCAAAAGATCTACAAAGCGAAACCATGTTTCGATGTTCATTAAACAAAAAGTGAAATTGCTGCAAAAAATGGATAAAGGCATATCTGTCTCAAAATTATGCGAGCTGGAAAGTCAACTGTATATGACATAAGAAAAAAGAACTTTTTGAGGCTGATCTTTGGAATATGGTAACAGGTAGTTTGGCGACATTTTGGAGGCGATAAAAGTTACTACCTAGGACTTTGGAAAAAATGTGAGAAGTACTCAGTTCCGATTACGCATTATTTTGTGTGAGGGAAATGAGAGATCATGAGATATGTCATGTGACATTAATGGACGAATCACTGTTCTTTAATCGGAAAAGGGGGTATATTTGTAAAAATATTTGCTGTACTTTATAGCAGTAGTTTCATTCTATGTTCTGTGAAACAGTGTTGTTTAATATTTGGATCCCATGGCCGTATATAAAGTAAATCCGAAATTTTTATTGCGTTTATGTGTAATTGAAAAGAATTGCTTAATTGCGGATAAGTATGAATGTCCAATATGTGGGAATGAAATGAAATTGTGTGAAAGGAAGGATATTACAGATAGTTTGAATGGCGGTGCAAGAAACCTGATGAAAATGGACATTTTGTGATCTGCCATGCACTCAAGATTCTGTAGAAGATTAGGTAAGTTAGTATTTTTATTATTTGAGGATATTATTTTTATGCATTGTTCTAAATGTAAGGAGTAAATAAATTAATATGGTATTATTGGAAAATTTTTATTAGCAATGATTTAGTTTAAAGTAATTAGGATTGTAAGCTAATTTTTATTAATTTAATTTATGTGCTTATTTATATTTTAAGTAGTGTTTTTTAATTTAATGACCGTGATTTTGAGAGTTATATGTTTGTAGTATTTTGGAATACGTTTGAGTAGAAGTAAATGTGCATGGAAAGAATTTAAGTATTTGACACTAAGTATTTGTAATCATTTTTTATGTTTTGTTATAAATTCGTTGGTGACGTTTATAATAGATAATTTAGAGGTAAAAGTTTTTGGATATTTTATTTATATTATATGTGGAAATGTTCATCCTTGGATAGGGTATATACATTTTCGCGATCAGGTAATTTCATATATGTGCTTTTTACCGAGTTGAAAGATTCACAAAATTTTCCTGCATTTTCGTGCAAATTTTTGTAATTTATGAGAAAATAGCAGTGTAGATGGATAAAGTCAAGAGTGTGCACAATGCAATTCTGGGATTTTTTTTAAGTAAAAATAAGTCGACGTGTACATGGTTACTGTGTATGTGCGATTTTGAAAAATGCAGCAAGGAGTTTGCGATTCTGCACTTTTTCCCAATTTTGCAGTTAATATTTGTCACGATTCAGCAGTTTTGTTCCATAAAATTTCTAGCATAAGTGTAATTCGGTTAGCAGATTGTTGGAAAAAGTGTTAAGTAAACAAAAAGAAAAGAAACATGTCTTTGCTTCATGAAGACGAAATGGCGGCGAAAAAAAAATAGGGGGTTGCTGTAGCAGAGTTGGTAGCCAAATTTTTGCCAAAAAATCGCCAAGTTACCATAATCCAAAGATCAACCCTTTTTGAATTTTTTGTGGAAGCAACTTAAACAACTTACATTGAAAGAAATGTTGGTTGATCTTTACATTACGGTAACTGGTAGTTTGGCGACATTTTGGAGGCGATAAAGGTTACTACCTGGGACTTTGGTAATAATGTGAGCAGTACTGAGTTCCGATTACGCATTATTTTGTGTGGGGGAAATGCGAGATCATGGGATATGTCATGTGATATTAATGGACGAATTACGGTTCTTTAATCAGAAAAGGGGGGAAATCGGGAAAAAATCTGGAAATTTTGTATTTGGCTTTATTCTGTGTTGTGTGAAATAGTGTTTGTGAATTTTTGGATCCCATGGCCGTAAGTAAAGTGAATTCGAAATGGGTATTTAGTGGTATTGAAAAGGATAGTAAGAAATGTTTTTTAAGGTTGTGTGAGAGAGAAATAAACATGTTTATTATGTTATTTATTTACCTGGTATCTTGCTTTGAAAGATAAGTATGATTTTAAAGATTCTGAAAGAGAATGAAGAAAAGTGTATCCGCCACGTAATGAAGATTCTGAAGGAGATTAGGTAAGTTAGTATTTTTAATTATTTTTATGCATTGTTGGAAATGTAAGGTGGAAAGGAATTTGGTATTATTGGGAAAATTGTTATTAGCAATGATTTAGTTTAAAGTAATTAGGATTGTAAGGTAATTTTTATTAATTGAATGTATGTGCTCATGTATATTTTAAGTGGTGTTTTTGAATTTAATTATATTTTAATGAAATGATAGTTATTTTGTGAATTTTATACTTGTAGGAATTTGGTGTATGTTTAAGTTGAAATAAACGTGCATGGAAAAAATTTAAATATTTGATACTAAGTATTTGTAATGCTTGCGGTATGAATTCGTTGGTGACGTGTATAATGTAATAGATGATTTAGAGATAAAAGTTTTTGGATATTTTATTTATTTTATATGTGGAAATGTTCATATTTGTAAAGGGTAAATACTTTTTCGCGATCATGTAATTTCATATATGTTCTTTTTACCGGGTTTAAAGATTGAGAAAAATTGTCATGTATTTTCGTGAAATTTTTTTAATTTATGAGAAAAAGCAGTGTACATGGATATAGTGAAGAGTGTGCGCAATGCCATTTTTGTGCAATTCTCGGGATGTTTTTTAAGTAAAAATAAGTTGACGTGTACATGGTTCAGTGATATTTTAATGAAATGATAGTTATTTTGTGAATTTTATGCTTGTAGGAATTTGGTTTACGTTTAAGTTGAAATAAACGTGCATGGAAATAATTTAAATATTTGATACTAAATATTTGTAATGCTTCATGTATGAATTCGTTGGTGACGTGTATAATGTAATAGATGATTTAGAGGTAAAAGTTTTTGGATTTTATTTATTTTATATGTGGAAATGTTCATATTTGTAAAGGGTAAATACTTTTTCGCGATCAGGTCAGGTAATTTCATTATAGTTCTTTTTACCGGGTTTAAAGATTGAGAAAATTGTCATGTATTTTCGTGAAATTTTTCGAATTTATGAGAAAAAAGCAGTGTACATGGATATAGTGAAGAGTGTGCGCAATGCCATTTTTGTGCAATTCTGGGATGTTTTTTAAGTAAAAATAAGTCGGCGTGTACATGGTTTATGTGTATGTGTTATTTTGAAAAACGCGTAAGGTGTATGGTATTGTGCACTTTTTCTGAATTTTGCAGTGAATATTTGTCATGATTAAGCAGTTTTGTTTGATAAAATTTCTAGCATAAGTGTAATTCGGCTAGTAGATTGTTGGAAGAAGTGTTCAGTAGATAAGAAGAAAAGAAACATGTCTTTACTTCGTGAAGACAAAATGGCGGCGGGGAAAAAGAATAGAGGGTTGCTGTAGGGAAGTTGGTCGCCAAATTTTCGCCAAGTTACCGTAATGTAAAGATCAACCGAAATGTTTAATAAAGTAAACAAATAAATATTAAGCTTTTTTGTTTTGTGAATTTTGATACCCTTTAGATCATAATTGTTATTTATTTTATAAATTAAGATTTCATATTTTTAATTGTATAATTTATCGATTTAAATTGATGATCTAATATCTGGAAAAATCCCAAATCTGGAATCGCCGAAGTCCCGATTTCGGACTTTCTACTGTATTTGAGAAATTCATTGGATATAGTATCTTCAGATGAAACTATCGCTGGAACCATAAGACAATGCAATACTCACCTACAGGAGAATCGAAAAAAATTTGAACTAATAAATTTGTAGGATTTATCTAAAGGATCACTGCAGACACAATTGTTGCCACATATTCAGGGGCTAGGAAATATGGGCAATGGCAATATGTTTTGCACTGCTGAATGTTGCTGCAATTAAATGCATGAATTATTTTATGTATTAAGAAACCACCTACTGAACATCAAACGAGGCAATCATTTTTGAAATATTTGGGATTTCAACTTGCAGAAGAATGCAAAAAAATAGAAGCCAGCAAGCGATGCTTCCAAGAAACTTTAAAGAAAAACTATGATCTAATGAAGACACCTCACTCACCTATAAAGAAGGCCATTTATGGTAGAAAATATAATGAAACACCCTTGGGTATGATATACCTTGCATGAGTAACACCGTTCGTTTTTGTCGCTAAGGTAATGCCGGAATTAATTTGAATCGCTATGAAATCAGGGCTGACATTATGCATACTAGAAAAGTAAACTAAAACTTAAAATGAATAGTTTCAAGTGCATTGTTCTTCAAAAGAGTGCGAAATCACAATATAACGGAAAATAAAAGTGATTTATAAAAACATCATAACTCACATTTGATTAAAATCTTAAACATTCAAATTAATCACACTTAATATTAACTTCAACTTATATACAATAAATAAAATAATCTTACTAATGATTGAGTCTTTATTTTGTAGAACTGATTTGTATATTTCTTCCGCAATATTCATTTTCGACACTACCTCAGGCTGTGTTTCCAAAACAAATCGCACATGGCAATATAGAACCTGCGGTCACAGTTAAATTCCTTTTTTAAGCCTGAAAACATTTGAAAAATATTTTTTCTTTAATTTATTACCAAGCATTAAGTTTTCAAGTGATATCCCCAAAGCTAATATTTTAACTTAATTTACTTATTCAGTATTGCTAGCTTGAAAACGCTTGCATTACTAGTACTACTAGTCAGAAAACTAGTCGCAGTCACAGCAAGTCGGAGGCAATAATTTATATCAAACTTATAGCTGGCAACAGCTATTACAATGATCGTAAATAAACGGTGAGGTCTCGCGTACAAGTTTAAAACAGTACATCGGCTAATGAAAGTTGCTAATGGAAGTTTTGTGATAATTAATATGATAGCTTTCCTATAATATATAATGGAAGAAAAAGTGGTATTCAAAAAATCGTTTAAAAAAAATATCCGGAAAAGGAAGCTGGATGATGCACAATCTTCTAGTAGCAGCGAAGATGAAACTAAAGTTATACGGAGAGAAAAGAAAACAGACTCAAGAAATCCAATGATTCAAGGTACAAAAACCCTTAAAAAGAGAGAGGAAGTAGTTGCTAGTTTAGACAGTGACCCAGAAGGCGCAATTCCTGCTTATAAATCATCTAAAACCAGTGAACGCGTTGGACCGTCAGATATGGGCGCTACATTAACATTACAGATTGAAACTGAAAAGGAACGAGACGCACAAGCAATATTTGAGAAGGCTCAAAAAATCAATGAGGAGTTAAAAGGTAAAGCTGATGACAAGATATATAGAGGAATCAATAATTATGCTCAGTATAGCAAAAAGAAGGATACAGCTCAAGGTAACGCTTCTAGTGGAATGGTCAGGAAAGGACCAATTCGAGCACCAGAAAACATTAGATCAACAGTGCGATGGGACTATCAGCCAGATATCTGTAAAGATTACAAGGAGACTGGCTTTTGTGGTTTTGGAGATAGTTGCAAATTCATGCATGATAGGTCAGATTATAAGCAAGGTTGGCAGTTAGAATTAGAAATGTCTAACAATACTTACGGAAAAGAAGATTCAACAAAATACGAAATCAGCTCAGATGAAGATGATTTACCATTTAGATGTTTCATCTGCCGCAACTCATTTCAAGATCCTGTTGTTACTAAATGCAATCATTATTTTTGTGAGAAATGTGCTTTAGAAAACTATAAGAAAAGTACACGTTGTTTTGTCTGTGGTGTACAAACTTCAGGCATTTTTAAAGCTGCAAAAGAACTTGCAGCTAAATTATCTACACATAACAAAAGGGATGAATCTGATGATAGTGATTAATAAAATAACTGTATTTAAATCTCTGCTTAATAGTTAAAACCAATTAGTTCCATGTTTTTATGCATAAGTTGTATACCCAGTATTTGTGAAAATATATATATATATACAACTCTTAACTCTCCAATAACCAAAGGGTAAGGGGGGAAAAAGAATATATATTTTCTATTTAATTTTTAATATTTTGTATAAGTATTGTTCATCCATTACAGTAATGGGTAAAAATATGTTTCAGGGTGCTGCTTGGCGATTGGCCAGCAAGTCACAATTTCAAGATGGCTGCTACACAAAACTAAAATAACAAGTCAAAGAATTGCACAGACTCGATGTCCATGTACACATTGATCTAATTTTATTTAAAAAAACATCAGAGAATTGCACAAACTTGGCAATGTGCACTCCCTTGACTTTTTCCGTGTACACATCAATCGATTTTCACTTAAAAAAAATCAGGAGAATGATGATGTCATACAATGTTAAAACAAAGTCAACCATCACCAAAATTTGTAAGCAATCAAAGCTCAGTAAACTGCATTTTAAATCACAGAATGAAGTAACATAAAAAAAGAAATACATGTTTTCACATATACACACTACAAAAAGGAAGTATCAACTTACCATATTTAGAAATTTCTGTGTTTTCAGTCTATGTCACACAAAATTCCTTAACAGCATCCAAAAACTTCCTAAAATTATCTGAACTAGAATATGCATACTGCCATCAACCACATAAATTCACAAAAATAAGAGTAAAAAAAGTATCCTTCGTAGTGATAATTGCAACAGCCATCTGAACAATCTTTACGTTTGACCATACACATTTCATTCATATAAACAGGACACTTATAATGACTATTAAGTAAACCTTCATTTACACACCAGTCAATTAATTTCCCCCCCCCCTTTCGTTTCAAATCGTACAGAAACTTCACATTAATCTCATCACATACAGGCATTTTACGGAGTACAGTACAAAATAAGCAATGTACTTCTTAATTAACATCCAACACAGAAATAAGCACTTACAAATATTTCCCCATCAGTCAAATTCACTGCAATCATGCATAATAGTGTTTCCATAACATTCAATTAGTCAGGTTACCATAAATGAAACAACATGGCGATAATTCAAGGGGCACCTTAAAATATAGATTAACCCAGTAATGTCATTCTTTAATGCTTTATTTTTTAATGTAATTTTGCATTCTGTGGAAAATGCCACATCATAAAAAAAGTCTGAAATTAGATAGGACATTCATTATAAAGAAATTTGATTATACAGCAAATTTTCCGTAACTGGCCTTTGGAGGTTTTTTGGCTGTCATCTTGGATTTCTTGAAATACAAGGAAAAGTAAACAGAAAATTTCCCAATGTTCATGATTTGTGATTTTCAAACTTTATTTTCTAGTACGTAATGTTCAAAAACTAAACAGAAAATTTCCTCTTTCTGGAAAATTCCCTGTGTAGGTTGCAGCAAATATCAGGGTTGCCATATTCTGGCGCATGTACGCTCTCTTCTGGTATAAACAAATCCGAAATTTCGCAAGTGCCAGTTACAGAAACATCCCCATTTATGCCACCTAGAGAACGTAGGGCTATCTGCTTTAGGAGAAGAAGACTTTCTGAGAAAACTGGCTCGTACTCATATTCATGTTACGTATGACAGTAAATACCCAGATTGCTAGCATAATGACTAATATTTGGAGGTCTAATTGTCAGTGTTCAGCAGTTATATCCATTTGGGTAAGCAGAAATAATTCTAAAATCTTCAGCGTTTGTATATACATGATAACAGCTGAGCCACCATTGTTGTGGTAACTTTCATAAGTTTAATGTGTATTAATTCAGTGGGAGCTCAAATTGCATTCTAGGTCCTGTAAATAATGATTTTTAGTTTTTATTTACATATCCATTGGTAGCGAATTTCCATAAATGCATGCTTCATACAGCTGTTTTACTGTAAATAAATATTTCACTAATAGGATTAAAAATAAAAGGATTATTAAGGTGAAAAGACCTTGCATATACATAAATATTTATATACAAAACTGAAAAGAAAAGATGAATTTTCAAAGTAATATGCTATAAATTATATTAAGAATATTAAATTAATTATTTTAACTGTTTCATCAGTAAAAATCTTTAATATTTAACTTGCTTGGAATAAAACATATATATATAAGTATTTTACATGTAGCAAATGTTCAATGTAATCTTGAACTTATTTTCAGGTGTATATTCCCCATCCTCTAAATTAGGTTTACATGATATATTGAGACTTGAGTTAAAATTATCATATTGCATAGTTTTTGCTAATAAGAGATATCTAAGACAAGGGTAGTGTCACATATTGATGTCTTGTTGGTGAAAGAAAAAACTGGCATTCTTCTCTGCATAGTTATATTTATATATTCTTCTTTGTACAGTTATATTTATTTTATTACATTGCCTTTGGTAGTAAAAGGAATGTCTAAGAAATGGGTGGTGTTATATACTGATGTCTTGTTAGAGAAAGAAAAAACTGAAATTCTTGTTTATACAGTTGTTGTGTTGTGTTTGTAAATGCATCGGCAACAACAACAATTTTTTTTTTTTTTAATTTTTATTTACCGGTGGATAATATGCTTTTCTAACCATACATACTAGAAGGTAGTTATTATTGCATGTATATGAAGCCATAACTCACATTTTCATTGCTGTATTTTTATGTACTTATTTATAAGATTCAAGACTGCCTTTTCCTACCAGTATTGAATTTTTCGCATACCAGTTTGATTCCTTTTATGTCATAAAACCACGGCTGGAATGTTTGTTAAAAAAAATATAGGTTGATCTTTACATTATGGTAACTTGGCGATTTTTTGGCGAAAATTTGGCAACCAACTCTCCTACAGCAACCCTCTATTTTTTTTCCCCGCCGCCATTTTGTCTTCACGAAGTAAAGACATGTTTCTTTTCTTCTTATCTACTGAACACTTCTTCCAACAATCTACTAGCCGAATTACACTTATGCTAGAAATTTATCAAACAAAACCGCTTAATCATGACAAATATTCACTGCGAAATTGGGAAAAAGTGCACAATACCATACTCCTTACGCGTTTTTTCAAAAAATAACACATACACATAAACCATGTACATGCCGACTTATTTTACTTAAAAAACATCCCAGAAATTGCACAAAAATGGCATTGCGCACACTCTTCACTATATCCATGTACACTGCTTTTTTCTCATAAATTCGAAAAATTTCACGAAAATACATGACAATTTTCGCAATCTTTAAACCCGGTAAAAAGAACATATATGAAATTACCTGATCGCGGAAAAGTATTTACCCTTTACAAATATGAACATTTCCACATATAAAATAAATAAAATATCCAAAAACTTTTATCTCTAAATCATCTATTACATTATACACGTCACCAACGAATTCATACCGCAAGCATTACAAATACTTAGTATCAAATATTTAAATTATTTCCATGCACGTTTATTTCAACTTAAACGTATACCAAATTCCTACAAACATAAAATTCACAAAATAACTATCATTTTATTAAAATATAATTAAATTCAAAACCACTACTAAAATATAATGAGCACATACATTAAATTAATAAAAATTACCTTACAATCCTAATTACTTTAAACTAAATCATTGCTAATAACAATTTTCCCAATAATACCAAATTCCTTTCCACCTTACATTTAGAACAATGCATAAAAATAATATCCTCAAATAATTAAAAATACTAACTTACCTAATCTTCTTCAGAATCTTGATTACGTGGCAGATACACTTTTCTAATTCATTCAATAAAATTATTGAAAGATTTTTTCTGCGAATTTTTCCTCCATACTTCCTCCGCTAAATAAAAAGCAAGCTTCTGTTTATCACAATGCCTAAATACCCATTTCGAATTAACTTTAGTTAGGGCCATGGGATCCAAAAATTAAACAACACTGTTTCACACAACACAGTATAAAGCTAAATACAAAATTTCCACATTTTTTTCCTGATTTCCCCCCTTTTCCGATTAAAGAACCGTAATTCGTCCATTAATATCACATGACATATCCCATGATATCTCATTTCCCTCACGCAAAATAATGCGTAATCGGAACTGAGTACTGCTCACATTATTACCAAAGTCCTAGGTAGTAATCTTCATCGCCTCCAAAATGTCGCCAAACTACTAGTTACCATATTGTAAAGATTAACCAAAATGGATATATATATTGTTAACACTGTTTTTTGTTTACAAATTTCTGTTTAGGAAGCTTTTGTTGTTAAAAAGTATTTTTTCGAGACCAACACTGCATTTAAAATCCTGTGTGGGTTAAAACAGATGCATATTCTTAATTCACAGATTTCTAAATCATTCAGAAATATTAAATTATTTGGTACTTTTCTGTTATAGTGACAGTGTTCAGAAATATATGTATGTATGCACATAAATGCATTTTTGAATCCAGTCCCTATAACAGGAAAGGGTTGATCTTTACATTATGGTAACTTGGCGATTTTTTGGCAAAAATTTGGCGACCAGCTCTCCTACAGCAACCCTCTATTTTTTTTTCGCCGCCATTTTGTCTTCACGAAGTAAAGACATGTTTCTTTTCTTTTTATCTACTGAACACTTCTTCCAACAATCTACTAGCCGAATTACACTTTATCAAACAAAACTGCTTAATCATGACAAATATTCACTGCAAAATTGGGAAAAAGTGCACAATACCATACTCCTTACGCGTTTTTCAAAATAACACATACACAAAAACCATGTACACGCCGACTTATTTTTACTTAAAAAAACATCCCAGAATTACACATAAATGGCATTGCGCACACTCTTCACTATATCCATGTACACTGCTTTTTTCTCATAAATTAGAAAAATTTCACGAAAATACATGACAATTTTCTGAATCTTTAAACCCGGTAAAAAGAACATATATGAAATTACCTGATCGCGGAAAAGTATATACCCTTTCCAAATATGAAAATTTCCACATATAAAATAAATAAAATATCCAAA